TCCCTCTCAACCTGGAGAATATCTTCCTCGGTTGCAGAATGCACTGCATATCACTCAACCGAGACACAAAAAACGCTATGTAGGGTTGCTTTTTAAATTTTTTATTTCATCTTTATTTTTATCTATTTGTTTTGTAATCTCATCACAGGTACCCTGCATATCCCTTCAGCTTCTTGAAGATAATTTGATATATTTTTCTGTTGAGCTCAACTTGGAAAAGGTTTTTGTTATTTTTTTTACATTCCGGTGCTTATGAGTTGCTTCTTTTTTGTCAGTCACCTGGAGTTGAAACCGCAAGGAACACTAGAAGTAAGACTGGTCCAAGCGAAGGGGCTAACAAATAAAGAACTGATAGGCAAATCCGATCCTTTTGCTCTATTATTTGTACGTCCGCTTCGCGACAGAACCAAACAGAGTAAAACGATCGTAAGTCAACTTTGTGGAAGCTACATTGATACATTAATTAATTAATTTTGGTTGTTCATTAACGAACGTTTGGACATTTTCAGAATAATGACTTGAATCCAGTTTGGAACGAGCACTTCGAGTTCATTGTTGAAGATCCTAATTCACAGAGCTTCACGGTGCGAGTTTTTGATGATGACGGCATTCAAAATGCGGAATTTTTAGGCGCAGCCCAAGTGCAGATAAGGGAACTTGAACCTGGCAAAGTCAAGGAAGTATGGCTAAAGCTGGTTAAGGAATTGGGGGTCCAAAGAGATAACAAGTACAGGGGTGAGGTAAGAATTACATCTCACTAGCGTCTTCGTGACATCTTCGTCTAGACATCGAGCTAATCAATAGATATCACATTTGTATGTAACTTGGTCTCAGTGGCATGCTATAGGAATCGAGAAGCAGATCGCTTAAAATCAATATCTGATCTAATCTGATGTCATTTTTACATGAGTTAGTATGGACCCTGCACATTTACACAGAACTTAAAATAAGTCGTATTGTATAGTTAGACATCTGTAACTAGATATATTGATATTGAAATTGATATTAGTGATATATTGATTTAATTCTTTCATGTTATTATCATGTAATAGCATGCGTAAATTTGCGAGTCGTACAGTAATATTTCGCATAATATTCTTGAGTTTCTAGTCCTCTTACATCATTCTCGACTTCCACAGGTGCACTTGGAGCTCTTGTACATCCCAATTGGCCTGGAGAACCACTTTAACAACCCTTTCAACCCAGATTACTCATTAACCGCTTATGAGAAGACCCTTAAGGATAGGGTTGACGACGATGCTGTACCGAAGAAAAATGTTTTTGTCAGAGGGGTACTTTCTGTGACTGTTATATCGGCGGAAGACTTGCCAGTAGTGGACCTATTGGGGAAGGCTGACCCTTTTGTAGTTCTTATGTTGAAAAAATCAGACAGAAAACACAAAACTAGGGTATGACTCAGCTCATTCGACAGCAAATTAAGAATAGTTAACTTGTTAAACACCCAACTTTGAAGCAAGTTTTGAATCAACGTAAATCGGTTATCAAAAGGGTTACTCATTTTTTTTTTTCATTTTGTATCGAAACAAGGATATTGTGTCACGTTTAGATTGATTTCATCTGTAAATTAAGATAATATAGTTTCTGTGCAGTAGTTCACAGTATATTTACTGCCGTACTTTCAGGTTGTAAACGAATGTCTAAACCCAGTGTGGAATCAAACGTTTGACTTTGTTGTGGAGGATGCGCTACATGACTTGTTAATTATTGAAGTCTGGGATCATGATACTTTTGGAAAGGTGACTTCTCTTGACTCTGTCAGGTTATTGTTCTAACTGGATCCCCATCATCACTTGCGTTTTTCAGGATTATATATAAGTTGCCTGCCACAAGACTCCTAGAATCATCAGTTTACCATCTTCATCTTATGCTGCTAATTTCTTAAAATCAAAATCACGTATAGAGATATTCATTGGAATGTATGGATCTTGCAGGAGAAAATTGGAAGAGTCATCTTAACATTCACTAGGATTATCTTAAAAGGCGAATTTCAGGACACGTTTGCCTTGAATGGTTCTCCATCTGGAAAGATCACACTGCATTTTAGATGGAAACCGCAGCATAAGAAGCGGGATCAATCATAGACTCTTGATATTTTGCAAAATAAAGCAACGCGCACAATTATTTCATTTTTCTTGCCTCTGCTCGTTTTGGTCACTCTGACCCAGCAGTTGACACATGGCACGCGTCTGGTTGGGTAATTAGTTTGTCTTCAAAGCTTCTGGATAATATTTCTTTTATATATCAAGCATGAATTTTTTTTCGGCCTAGGGATCAACATAAATATATGAATAAACTATTACAAGATTGTCTCCTATAAAAAATTCTCATGAACAATAAAATAATAATATTTTTTTCCTGCTGTATAATATTAAAAATCTTTCTTCTTCAAAAGAACTATAATGATTTTAATTTTCAGTATTGTCGGGCTAAAATCAATTATAATGCAATGATTGTTATTTTTTTAAAAAAAAAAAGAGTTAGGAACTATGAACTATAAATACGTTTTGTTATTTTTACAAGAGGACATCAAAAGTTGAGGATTTTATATGCATTTTGAGTTTCATAGATTTGTAACTTCAGGAGAGAAATGCTTCTACTAATTTGAAGCATTAAGTTTTTCGCGTTCTAAACTTTAATATCGAGAATCTCTTTAACTTGTTGGTTTTGATATTGAATCTTCAACATAGAGATAGGGGAAGGAAAACATGTCCAAGGTATATTTTTTATTCTCTCCACGTTTAGAATAGTTTTCGTGAAAAATAGGAATGAGATGACGTTTCCGTGGTAAATAATAAAATGAGATTTGGGGGAAACAAGAGCTGAGGCCGATGAGGGGTAGTTAAAGTGGTCAACCATGTAAGTGGAGGCTGACTTAGACCACTTCCCAAATGCCAAGTCTCTACGGATCTACTCTAGTAGCTCCATTATAGGAAGAGGAGCTGAAATGTTTCGTAATTCGTAGACGGTGGTCGTGGTGGTTCCCTTCTGACACTGGACGTCCGTATGAGTTTGTTGACTATAATGAAATTTGAACTTGGATGAAAGTGTCACTGCATTCCTAAAGTTAGTTAGCATTGCTGGTGCAAATCCATTTGCACTTCCTCATTCAGTTTCCGGTTCCACACCAGCACATCCTTCCCGCTCAAATTCCCGTCCCACCTTCCATTTTATAACTTGCACAAATTATTTGCCTATTTACTGTCTTTAATATATATGTGTGTATTTTGAACTCCCTCTTGTCTGGTTCCTTGCATGGAACGTCGTTCATTGACTTCACTATCTTTGCGCCTATTTACTAAAAGGATCAATCAACAAAAGTTAGAGTTCGTGTTGTTTCCCCGCTCAAGACAAGTAAAACTAAAAAGTTTATTTTTAAATTAAAGTTAACACAGCTTTAAATTTATCACTATTTATCAACCACCGAGCAGTAGCTTGGACATGCCTTACGCATCAAGGGAAGATGTTTTTTTTTTTTTTATGCCTATTTGTATATTCGTTCAGATTTAGTTCGACCATAACCAAATCTCCAAGATTAGTTTTGGCAAAATATATATATATATATATATATATGTATATATATCTCTGACATTAGTTTTCGTTAAATATTGGCTCTAAAAAATTATATTTTCTTATCACCTGAACTTCATCAACTCTCCTCTGCTCTTGAATAAAAGGCAGTATATTCAATGAAAATATTTATCTGTGATAATTGGAGGTATTTAGACCAATTGAATTAATTAATTAACAAACTTTTATAAATGTAGTATATAATATAATTTACACATTCATGAGTTATTTGGTACGAGTATGGTGTTATGTAATTTTTTCCATTATCCTCTGCGTATCAAAATTATAAGTCGCTTAACCCGATCTTTGCCTTTGATTGTGAGATTAAATTTCCACTCCAGCCCTAACACGGATCCCACGTCTCAGCTTCAACGTCAGCCCATTCTTTATATATTTTAGATTCAAAGGAACCTGATACATCATACATGAAATGTAAGATGAACCTCTTTCTTCTAGTTAAGAAATTGGTTTAAATATAATTAATTAAGGTCGCTTGCTTCCTGGTTTTTGATTACAATATTTTAATTTTAACTCCATTGCATTGCTCGTTGACCAAAAAAAGGAACTCCATTATTGATTATTCCTACATTTCTAGGTATTGCCATCTGTTTCGTTAATTTTTACGTTTAGTCTTTAGTCTTTAGTCTTTTTATCATAATCTTGCATTAAAGAATAGCGAGTCCAGATTAACAGAAATGCTAAGCTCGTGCAAACTATTAGCGCTATCTTCCCAACAAATGCCATTAATAACAATATGTTGACTCATCTCCCTATTTTGTTGAAGCATAAATACTCTCTCTAAAATTCAACATAAAAAATGCCGGCTTTCTCCGTCACAAGGCACAAGTTCACTGTCTTTGAATGACACCACGATGATCTAATGGGTATCTGACCTGACAAAACATTTTATGATACCCCTATTTTGTTGTTATCATATTTTTAATGTCTGATTTGTCAGTGCCTCAATGACCTATCAACTAACACAATTATGCCTGGAAAATTCCACTTCATCTTTTGGTGGTCGCTCTGCATAATTTATTTCCCAATGTGATATACCATAATTCTGATAATAAGCTCTGCTCTTGGAGGAACTAGGAGAGGCAAACACAGATATCGACATGTGCATGTATATATCTATTTTAAGGATTAAATACAAATCTATTTTGTCTTACCAAATAAAAAAAATACAAAATTAAATATTTAATATCGATGGGTGAAAGACCGACGACGAAGAAAAAGAACTAGGACGCTGTGATGAATTAAAAAAAGAAAAAAAAAAAGGAAACATCATTTAATAACTAATGGTGACTTCGAAGGCTGTATCGAGGATCAACTGTATTGGCCCCAAAAAAAAAAAAAAAAGCTATATTAACTGTATTTATGTTCTGGTGGTAACAACGTGTGAGAGATATGGAAGTGCTAAGGAATGACAATTTGACAACCGAAACTTAATTTTAACACTTCCCTCTCTCTTTCACCCACATTACTCTGACCTTTTTCTTTTGCAAGAATACTCGTTCCCATCTTCTATTCCTTCCCTTCGCTGCATTGCTTCGGATTTGCCGCAAAGAGGAGCTTGATTTTATATTCCCCCCCTTCTTATTCTTTCACTCTGGCTAGAATTAGGAAGCACGCTGGATTTGGGCTTTTGCTTACGAAGATCTCGACCACTTATGTCGCTGAAGTGACGTCTTGAAGCGAGTTTCAGAGATCTAGCAGAACCTTGCAGATCTTTGCAATTCTAGAGGTTTCTTCGACTGGGCGTAGTTTGGTCAATAATGAGTTGGAGATACAGGGCTGGTTTGTTCCTTATAGCCGCCGTCGTTCTGATCTGGGTCACCTCGGCTGAAGTCACTCAGGTCACTTTTTAACACTTTTATGTGCTGAATAAAACTCTTCTCGAGCTATTCTGGGAGTTTCTGTGGGATATATTTTGTGAATGTGCTCTTGCTCATGTTTCTATTCGCGTGCTAATTCTGTTGAAACCTGCTTTCTTTTTCTTTGATTCCTGATTTCTTTATTCTTTTAAATATTCGGGGCTTCTTTGATACCTATTAAATAGGATTAAATGATTCCAGGGTTTACATCTTTAGGTCATAGCGTTGCACAGCCTATTAATCACACAATTCATTTAGGAGGCTGTGTGCTTGAGAGATGGATGCAAGCTGATCTTTTGGCTCAGTGTGACTTGACGTTAAAGCTTCCCGAGAACTAAGATTTCTATCAATCAACCATTTTGAAACTTCATATTTCAATCACAAAACGCTCTATTAAAGATCAAAGTTCTGTTATTGTAACAATGGAAAGCGGGCTACATATTACTGACGTGTCTCGTGGATACTGTAAGGAGATGAAAGATACACCTGCTGCTGAATCTCGTGCTGTTATATTATTCCAGAACCGCAAGACATTGTGCTTGAAATTTCATAGTTGCAAGTTATCGAGTTCTCGTGAAACATGGCATTTCGCCCCTGCTTTTTAGTTTGTCTCCTCAGAATCCCGATCCACCCGTGATGTATTTCATAAAAATTCTCTAATATATTGAAATTTTGCTCCGGGGGCATCTTTTTGTAGTAGGCATCATCACAGTGTGGTAGCATCTAAGCTTTATGTCTTGATATATAAATTCCTATTAAAAATGTATAATTCTTGTTATAAAAAAAGTATATAATTATGATTGAACTAAAAAAAAAAAAAGCATATAATTCTTAACAGTGTTAGGTGTTTTGGCATTCGGCAATGCTATTCTGAACATTATCTTTCTTGACAGGATATTTTTACAGATTATAAACAACCATTTGCAGTGACATATCTGGGAGCTTCTCTCATGATAGTTTACCTACCACTAGCATTCATTAAGGATTGGCTGTGTAATCTACTTAAACACCACTCCTCTAAAACTGGTAAAAACGCAGAAAGCATGGATAAGCCTTCTTCTGGGCTCAGCTCGCCTCTCAAAGGCAATGGAGTGCAGAAAAACATTGAACTGCAAATTTTAAAAGATAGCGATTTAGACCTTTCAGCTCTTGCAGAAGGAAAGCCATTGGCAGCTAGACACAGTGATAAGCATGTGCTAAAGGCAGAGAAAGAACTTACTTCTTGGGAAATTGCTAGTTATGGTTTTTTCATTGCCCCTATCTGGTTTTTGACAGAGGTGAGTTACTTTGGATGATATCTTCACGTATGGAAATGATTTTAGATTCATATATTTACAGTCATATATTAAAACTGCTTCCGTCAGTTTTGACTTGTTTGAATATGCTGTTCATTAAAGCCCATAATGATGACTACTAAAAATATATCAGCATTATATTGCATGTGCACCACATTTACTGCAGTATAACTGATTTCTTACATGATTGAAGACTCCTAGTCGTTAGAATTTATGGTTTTTTCTCATTATCTGACAAGTCATTAATCAGGGTGTCATTGAACCATGCCATGCAATACACAAACAGACGCATTATTGTATGTCTTCAACACACTAAGAATAAGCTATTCTTCATATCTATGATTGTATTTTATGCAATAAATCTAGCATGTAACACTTCATCACAATTCACATTTTTTATGTTCTATAAAGTAACTTGATCGAAACCTCTTAATTAACAATATTTCTAAAAACTTAATAAATGATAGAGTATAATGGCGTCGTATAATCCATATAGCCGACTTCACTTAGTGGGATAAGACCTGTTGTTGTTGTTGTATAAAGTAACTTGAGTGAATACTGCCTCAAATGGTTAGACCACTGGATAGATAACTGTGACAGCCCAATAATTTGGAAGCTAGACAAATTTGAGAAGCTGAGGTTTACTTGTTCTTAGTGCACTTTTTTTCTTTTATTTGTCTGAGTGCTTAGTGCAGTTAATTTGTATTGACATTATATTGGTAAAGCAGATATTCTTTCCGTGTCTTTCTTATACCTGAACTTCTGTTATTTGCTAAATTACACATACTGATTCTATAAATCAGTCTACTTTTATCGTATTTGTATGGGGGCCTATTGTCTGCCATTAATTTCTTTGTTTCTCTAGTCATCCACGGTTAACTATGACTTTACTATTGTTCCATGACATTATGGAACGGAAATTTAAGTTTTATTAACTTTTGTTCTGGTTGCTTTCAGTATCTATCAAATGCTGCCCTTGCACGTACAAGCGTTGCGAGTACAACAGTATTATCATCTACTTCAGGGCTTTTCACTCTTTTCATTGGTGCATCTATGGGACAAGACTCTTTAAATGTTGCCAAAGTAGCTGCTGTGTTTGTCAGTATGGCTGGGGTTGTCATGACAACTATGGGGAAAACTTGGGCTGCAGATGAGTCACAATACAGTGCTCAGTAAGCCTTTCTCTATTTTCATAATTACATTGCTTATATTCTGATCTGATTTTAACTGATTAATTAGAGCTCAACCAAACTGATATTAATGTCATTGAATTTTTTTACTCGCTTCATGCTCTAAGCTGGATGAGAAGTAGTGAAATTATGCATAGACATTTTAATTTTGAAATGCTTCTGTCTGTGATTTAAAACAAGGCAGAAATGCATTCCTCCGAAATGACAGGAAAAAACCATGTCTGCATGTGAGACCAAGACGAGGATAAAATGGGATCTTTAAAACCATTATCCATTAATGCTCAGTAGGGTCATCACAAATCATATGAAAGCTTAGCCAACAATTATTTCTCAAGATCATTAAATTACGCTGAAGAGTGTCATTTGTTATAGAGCCAATTGTCATTTCAGTAGATATTCACATTTTTGTAGACTTTACCTTGCTCTTTGTAATGCTGTTTTTTGGGGCGTTGACAGTTGATATTTGTGTTCAGCAATGACAAACGCTCTCTGGTTGGAGATCTTTTTGGCCTTCTCTCAGCCATGGCATATGGTCTCTTTACTGGTTAGGCAATGTCTCAGCTGTTAATTGTGTAAGTTCTTTGTTCTGATAGTTTTGATGAATCACAGTCATTTCTTAATTGTTAATGTTACAGTTCTTCTGAAAAAATTTTCTGGTGAAGAGGGAGAAAGGGTTGACGTGCAAAAGCTATTTGGATACATCGGATTGTTTACACTTGTTGCCCTGTGGTGGCTTAGTAAGTCTTCTATTAGCGATGCTTCTGTGCTTTAATCATTACATGGCTTTGCTAGATAGCTAACTAATTCTTGGATTTATATTCTCTCAGTCTGGCCACTGACGGCCTTAGGAATAGAACCTAAATTTACGATTCCCCACTCTGCAAAATTGGAAGAAGTGGTTCTCGCTAATGGATTTGTTGGAAGCGTACTCTCAGACTATCTCTGGTACATGAGATGAGATCAATTTGAATAATTCATGTGCTCGCAGGTATTCACAATCTAATGTTAAAATTTTGTTTATCCACGCAGGGCACTCAGCGTTGTATGGACAACCCCACTTGTGGCCACCTTGGGCATGTCACTGACCATTCCTCTTGCCATGGTGGCTGACATGGTCATCCATGGTCGGCATTATTCAGCAATATATGTACTTGGCTCAGCTCAGGTACTTTGTAATCTCTCAAGATACCTTCAACGTTCTCCTGTTCGTTTTGGATGTTAAAACAACGTTTTCATGTGCCAGGAAAATGGGTCTCATGTCTAAAACATTTTCTACCATCTAAGATCTCATATATGGTTTTTCCCCTTTTACATATTAAAATCAGAACTGTTTTGGCAGGTGTTTGCCGGGTTTGTGATAGCTAATCTTTCAGGCTGGTTCACAAAGAAGTTGGGATTGTAGCATTTTGTGCCTAACCATGTCATGATCTCTCTTAAACATTATTCTTTTACTGGGCGGTTCACTGTCCTGGTCGGGTGCTGTGCCACAAATGCCTCGATCCTGGTTTGGCATCCTTATGAAAGAAATAAAAAGAAGAGGACAAGAGGGTGTATATTTCATACTGTATTCGTTGGCTGTGCATATAATTCTAGAGTGAGGATGTATTTGCTGTGACTTATGTGAACATGGTTAGGTCACGCTGTCAGCAACTGTTTATCATTTTTACATAATTCATGAACTTCAATTTTACGTTTTATTTTTTGCTGTTGATACCACAAGCTGCCGATCAATCAGGCACCCATTCCGTAATGCGATTTTGTGAGCGGGAATAGAATTCGTCTTCTTTTTGGTTTTTTTTTTTTTGTTTGATACATATTATCAGAATTATTGGAATAGAACGAGGTTGGAATTTATACTATTTAATGTATTTTTGAGTGCCATGTTTAGCTAATTGGAAAAACGTGCTTTCTCCAAGAGAGTACTTTCAGTCTTTTAGTGTCATCCGAACACAGTATTCATGTCTTCGTGAACAGACGATGTAATCCTGTTGTCAAAAGATCATATATAAAGATTATATATATAATTTTTATATTTTTGTCATTAAGTTTTTGAATCAAAAAGCAGTCAAATATAACAAAGGGAAAATAACAGAAAAATTTATTTAAATTATATAAATAATAGATTAAGTTTACAAAATGGCATAATTTTCCTACACTCTCATGGGATGAGATGTTTTTGTTACTAGAAAATTAAAAGAAATGATACTTTTGCCTTTTATTTAAATTAAACAAATTTGTAATTTTTTATTTACAACTTTTATTTTTAAATTCATAATAATTTAATAGTTATTCACAATTCTATATATGCAGGTCCTAATATATATTAAGTGTTGAAAATTCATAACTTTTCATCCACAACTTTTATTTCTATATTAATAACTTTTATTTTTAAATTCACAACAATTCAATAGTCATTCGTAACTTCGCATATACAAGTCCTGATATGCATTAAATGTTAAAAATTTGCAAATTTCTATTCATAACTTTTGTTTCTATATTTATAAATTTTGTCCCTATATTCGCAACAATGTAATAAGAAATTATAATTTATCAGCACCCTCTGTAAATTGACTGAATTCGTAAAAATGAATTACCGCTCTAATTCAAAAAAAATAACTTTCATTAGTTTAAATGACAAGAAACTTTAAAAAGTGACAACTAAGGTTTTGTTATCAATTATATAATCTACAACTTGTATCAGAATACCTTACAACTCTTTTGACAAAAATATATGAAGGGTTAAATCTTTTAGTATTATTTATTCTCTTATCATTTTTATCTTCACATTCCCCCTATCATATTGTATTTTACCTTTAATATTTTTTACTAAATGCTCCCAAATGTGAAAATAACAAAATAATTTTTTTCCAAAATTAGAAGCAAAAGAAGCCATTTCTCATGTCAACCTGAAACAATGAAATAGTCATTCATCAACATGTCTATTTTTCAAATATCATAATCACATATTTTTTATCTTTTATCCAAAAACAACTATTTTTCTTATATTCATAACTTTGATTTATATATTTACAACATAACTAAAAATTATATACCACTTATCCATAAGTAAGCATCCATAACCAAATATAGTAAAGAAAATGAAGATTTCAATCATGAAGAGAAAATAACAAAAATACAACACTAAAGGCTTTGCCTCTCACTATGTTGGGGAAAAACAATTTTGATACCGTATTATTTTTTTCTATTTTAAAAAGTCATTTTTTAGTCTCAATTTTAACAGCACAGTGATAAATTAGAAAAGCAAGAAAAACATATGTTAATGGTAAGGTCGTCATAGTGTTAAAAAGAAAGGGAAAAAGGAATTGAAGCTAAACTCTAATATTAACTATTAGCCATATCAATTTTAAAAGATCAATTTAAGCTCAAATCGATCTCCATGACTATAAACACACCATCTAATGATAACCTAATAATGGAATTCCTAAACCATATTACAGGAAAGCAGAAGAAGAAACGAGAGGGAAGTAAGTGGATATGAGTTTAATACCTGAGGCCCTGTTTGGTATGACTAAATAGTTTTTAATGAAATTGAAATTGAAATTGAAATCAAAATTGAAATAAGAATTGAAATAGAATTGAATTATAAAAGTATGTTTGGTATATCAGAAAAATTAAATGAAATCCTTGCATTACTTTTGTTTGGCATGCAAGAAACGAAAATGAAATTATACTTAAAAGACAAAAATATCCCTATATAAAAATTAAAATAAAACATAATAAAAACTTAATTGTGTACCAATAAAAATATTTAATAAAGGTAGCAAGGAAATACAAGAAAATCAAAAGTTTTCCTTCCTAAATAATAAAAAATCCAGTAAAATATTTTACAAAAAATATTATATATATATAAATTATATACAAATATTATATATAATACTATCTTATATATATATATATATATATATTATAACGTTTTATATATAATGAGCAAAAATATTAGGAACCAGGAGTGAGGTGAGGGTTTTATATTTTTTGAGGGTAAATTTGTCTTTCTAGAATTTGTATGAGGGCAAGAGTGTTTTAAATGTTACAATTCTATAGAATTGCTCCCAATTTCATAGCTTTAAATAAGAAATTTAATTCAATCTCTTTTCATGGAATCAGGATTTTCAAGAATTGTAATTCATATCTACCAAACATCACTTTATTCAGATTCTTATCATAATTTTATTTCCACCTTCACAATTTCAACCTACCAAACATGGCCTGAAAGAAATTAAAGTAGAGGTGAAGGTAGATGAGAAGGAGAAGCAAATGCACCAGAAGAAGAGCATGAAGGAGAGAAGAAGAGGAGAACAAGAAAATGAAGCAGAGGCAAGAAGGTGCAAGAATGACTCTGCATTGATATTTGGGATTTTATTTTATTTAAGGGTAATTTAATTATTTTTTTAATTCCCTAATAACAGAAAAATTCAATGAGACTTCAGAAAAATTATGCCATTTTATAAAATCAATATGTCATTTATATAATTTAAATAATTTTTTTGTCATTTTCCTTATAACAAATATATAACTTTTTAAGTTCTTGGAAAAGTGGAATTTTGAGAAGTACTTCCCAGAGTAATTTCCTAATAGATTTCATGGCTTCCAGTGGATTTTATCTTTTGGGATAACACCTAATTTTAATGAGAAATTTATAACTTCCCAAAATAATTTCCCATTAGATTTCGTTGCTTCTAGTTGGTTGGAGGAAGAAAAAAAAAAAGATTTCGTTGCTCCTAGGATGTATTATCATATCATATACCGCCTACTGGCATTAAGACGTCTATAAATGAGAGAGGTTGCAAGTACGAACTAAATAAAGTTTGGGTAAATAGTGAAAATGTGCCTGTGTGACTGTGTGAGCTTCTCTGTAAGAGAAGTGCAAGGTGCTTAACTGAATTAGAAAAAAAAAAGGAAAAATTTTCTGGAAAAAAAAAAACTCACTTTCATTATAAATACTCTCTGAAGCAATATATGATGCTTCCAACTTAAAAAAACAAATAGAGACAGTATATGACGATGATAAATAATGTTCAGCACCGTCGTGTGACGAGACTGAAACCACCCAAGGAGCTGGGTTTTATAGAACAGCGTGTTTGTTTCAAGGGAAAATGACGATTAAAGATTCTATTCTTATTAATTGCAATTAAAAACCCTGCATTTTTTAAATTCTAATAATGGACCATGCTTCTTAATGGAAATTAAAAATACTTTTTAGTTTACAAAATTGCCGTCAACTAAACGGGAAAACAATTGGTCGAGTTTCATTTGAAAAATTATGAAAAAACACTTCTAAATTAATATTATGAATTGAAATTATTGTTAGTGGTAGTTTAAAGTCTATATTTGGAGATGTGTTATTTTTTAGTATAAAATTAAAATTTACTTATAAAACTTTTAAATGGAGCTTGTGAATTTACGATAGTCACTTAAAACTTATCAAAGCCATTTTTGAATATGAAACTAATCGTTTATGAATTTTTATACTTGTTAATATATAAGTAAATCAATTAAAAATTAAGAAAAAATATTATTAAAATTATTATTATAGGTTAAAACTGTTATTAATCTTAAGTGAGAAAATCAGAATATCAAGTATTATGGGTTGAAACTATTAAAATTATTGTTATAGGTTGTAACTATTATTAATTCTATTCCAAAATGCGAACTCTAATTTTTTCAATTGAGATTAACAATAATTTTAATATATAATAATAATAATTTCAGTAGTGTTTTTTTTTTTTTACAAGTGAGACTCAATAAACAATTTTTTACATTTATTTGATGGCAATTTTATAAATTCACATGTGTTTTAAATTCTAAATAAGGGTCATAATTTATTATTAGAATTTCAATAATTCAATATCCTTAATTATAATTAATAATCTCATAGGTTCTTAACAGTGATTTTTCCTTGTTTTAAATATATATTCATGTCCATTTGCAATCCAGATTATTGGACTTGGCTTACCATGCACTTCCTAACCAATGCCAGAAAGCTTACTTTTGCTGATTAAGCTTTTTGACAATTTACGATCATGGCATACTTAACGAGCCTGTTCATTAAAATTTCAGATTGTGCGCCCAAACCAAGTTCGCAAATATTTCCACCGTACGAAAAGGCCATCTCCAGCCTTGATCAGGGGAAAAAGAAAGACCACATTTTGCCTAATCTTCATGCCAAAAATATAATTAGTAAATCAAGAATTTAATCTTCAAAACTATATAAGAGCTTATATACGAAAAACTTTTGAAAGAATGAGAGTTAGATCTCAAAATATTAAATTAATAATAATTAAATTGTTGATAATCTTTTTTCAAAAAATAAACTGAAAATATTGAGCCAGATTATTACAAATTCAAAAATTTCAATTACAAATAAATATTTAAATATTAAATATAACTTTTAGATAATAATTTATTTTATAGAAAATCTGGTTAGGATTTAACTATCATTAATTCATTCTTTTAAAATTTAATTATCATTATTTCAAATTTTTTTATCATTATTTCAAATTTTTTTTTGTTTTTTAATAAATAAAATAATCTATTTGTTTGCCTGAATCATTCCATACCATTAGATTTCGTATGAGAATCTAAGCAGGAAGCTTCTTATACACACACACACACACACACACACACATATACATATATATATCAATATAAGCTTTCAATTCAAGCAAAAAAAAATCTAAAATACTTTCTTAATATTTTCGGAACGAATTTAGGCAATATAACATTTATGAATTTAAATGTGAAGTAGGGGGGGGGGAATTAAATTATAAAATAATAAATATTTAACAAATATAGAAAATAAAAATTGTTATACGATGATGATAAACGTGATGTTCATAATCATTATTAAAAAAAATTACTCTCCGATCTCAAACGAGCATCTTCTCTTCAGCCTGCCAATCTTGCAAATATCAGCTTCTTCCGCAGACGAAACTCGAAGACATATAGCTTTGGTTTCGATCGGCTCTTAAGAACACTCCATAACTCACTGTCCCATTCTGGAGGCGGCCATGCCTTCCAAATCACTCTTCCTTGCTCTTTTCCTGCAGCTATGCTTCTCGCTTTTCTCCTCATCCTTCGTTCACGCTTCTGGGTCCGATTTTTTCTTCTTTTATTGCACTTTTTCTTAAATTTGATGTACTTTATCTACTATTTCCCAATTCAAACCTAGGAAGGTTGGTTTTGGAATATTGGCATTGATATAATCGTCTGATAAATGTCACTTTTGCAGGTCTGCTGAGGGTTACCCTATTAATGGCCGAGTGAAGATTCCAAGTATGTTTTATCTCACATTTGCTGACTTCTTATAACTTGAACTCAAATTTTAGATAGCTGTTTCTTGTGAGTTTATGTCCCGATTCTGTTTGATTATGGCGACCTTTCTTTACTCTTGGACCAATATAAGATTAGAAAATATCTGGGCGCTGGGATCGAGGTAGTGTTACGCGGAGTACATCTGGAGGGCCTGTTGCTCTATGTCAGGAGCGACCATAATTTTACTAATGCTTTAAACGGAATGTATTGAACTTGGACATCTAGATCTAGGTCATTATGTTTAAGTTGTGACCTTTAAATTGAGTATTAATTCATATTAGATTCTACTATTAAGATGAGAAGTTTCCCGGAAACATTGAATACCGAACTAATGCTGTGGCATACAACATGATAAACTTTTGATTTAATTATCAGGTGGTAACTGGTATGGGTGAGGTGGGATGTGGGTAGTGATTACGGTTCAAACCTCAAATGATTTAAAGAAAGAAACAATAGAATCAGTTTGCACTTCGTAAAGATTGATTGGACTTTTATCATTCGTGCATCTATAACTTATGAATACTAAGATTAATTAAATTTGATCACATTAGACCTTTAGAGTATCAAATTTTATTAAGGACATGGATATTACACTTATATGTTGCTCTTATTCATTTTATTTTTGAGGCATTTGGGTCCGGTTCTTATTCATTTTTTGATGCATTGTGTTCAAAAGAAAAGTATGTGTTGCTTGCTGCTGCATCTCGTCTAGAAAAGGATGAGATGACTTTGAATAGATTCATAAGGCAAGGGTTTCCAGAACCTTTCAGGGTGCCCTGTCACTAAGAGGTTATATCTGATAATCATGGACTGAGGGTTGCGTTAAATCTAGCTGATATTGTCCCAGCCTCAGATTTGAGAGGTTTTTGGGGTGTTGATAACTACTCGTTGTCCATATTGCATATTGCTTGCCACACATCTATCATCCCATCTTGCACTTTTGCTATATAAATTGGTTGTATATTGGTGATTTTTAGCACTGCATTCTTTTGCAAATAAATCTATTTATTGCAAAATATAAGGTAAAGGTGAGTTTATTCAGACTGTTAGTAACCATTAACCAAATCTGACAGCTGCAAAATTAGCTACTTCTCCATATATGAAATCTTATAATAAGGCAGTTGTTAAATAATTCAGTTGTTCTTCTCTCTCTCTCTCTCTCTCTCCAAATCTTCTCTCAATCTTCTTTCTTTACTACATCTTTTTGGCAGGTTTGGGAACAAAGGAATTTGGTCTTCCTGGAAAAGTTTCAAATGTCAAAGTCATACTCAATGGTGGTCAAAGAGTAACATTTCTGAGACCTGATGGATATTTCTCATTGTATCCTTTGATTTTAACTTTAGCAACACCTCTTTTTGAATTTGCATGATGAGAGGATAGTAATCAATCTCCTTCCCTCTTCTTTCCTTCTTGATTTGATAAGCTGTAGCTAGTGCTGAGATAATTCCTTAACTTGCCTGCTCATAGCCACAACGTCACAGCAGGGACTCACCTGATTGAAGTTGCTGCAATTGGCTATTTCTTTTCTCCGGTTGATTCTCAACTGCAATTTCATCTTAAATTTTTCCTTATTAATTTATTGATATTCTCTTTTCTCCGTGTTCACTATTAAATTCTATTTACAATAAAATAGGTACGAGTTGATGTTAGTGCCAGAAACCCAGGCAAAATTCATGCGGCTCTGACAGAGAATAGGAGAGGGCTCAGCGAGTTTGTCTTGGAGCCATTGAGGGAGGAAGTATATTACGAGGTTGATTCAGACTACATGTTTCAATTTGTTCTTCATAATTCTCTCATCTCCCCTTCAAATTATCATTAGAATATCTATCTCATCCTATCTTTTTTTCATTACAGATTAGGGAACCCTTTTCTATTTTGTCCGTTGTGAAAAGCCCAATGGGTCTGATGATGGGATTTATGCTGCTTGTTGTGTTCGTCATGCCCAAATTAATGGAGAATATGGGTATGGTTCATAAACTTGCATTGTAAACTTATTTCATTTCTTTGAGTTTCTGACTCATTTGCATGTCAGAATGGCTGTACTTGCTGTGCCTTGGAAGGGTGACGTATTGTTTGTTTCCTTCTGGATAATTTCTTGAGGCTAGTGATTGTTTTTCAAGGATAATTTCTAAGCACACATCAAATGAACAGAGACTATTGAAACGGAAGTGCAGGAAACTTTTCCTTTCAGGTGCTATATTTTCAAGAGATATATTTCCTTCAGGCTGCACAGAACCCCCTAGGATTTCATTGTCAGATCTTATTAAATTAAAAGCTCTTATTCAGTTTTCTCTGCACCATGTTCATGCTGGAGTGTTTTCCATTATACAATTTGCTCTTGCCTTTTCTGAGTGAACTGCATCATATTTATGCTGCCAAGCGTTGAGTGTCTTGTCTCATGTTTGCTTTCTTGTTGCTCTACACCTTTATGTGATATGGTGCGATGTTGTGTTCTTTTCTTGAACAGTCTGTTCAAGGGAAATTATTTGATCATTTTAGAATTGAAGCAGAATGTATAATTTTGCATAACCGCTGCTGATGGTTCCGTTATATTTTGGTGGCTACAGATCCAGAAGAAATGAGGCGTGCCCAAGAAGAAATGAGAAATCAAGGAGTTCCATCCTTGGCAAGCTTGTTACCTGGTTCTGGCGGCAGCAGCTAGATGGTGAATGACCTAATGTCTGAAGAATTCCGTTATGACGAAAAGATGCCCAAAGAAATCTATATTTTTATACTTTTATGTAGTAGTTTGAAATTTCTTCTAGATGGAGATCTTAGCGTATTTTTTAGAACTTGGGGCTTTTTTGTAAATCTACTCACTTTCTTGTCAACACTAGCAATCATGCACTACCGTTTTGCCATTTGTGGTATGCTTGAGGTGACATTTTTTACTATGTAGCGGATTTTTGTGCCTGCAGTGCTGGAGTCATCATTTCTTGTGCATATCTGGATACATAAAATAATCATTTTTGAAACACATTTTCATTATTATATATTAAAATTAATTATGAATTTAAAATTTTATTAAAAAATATAAGATATTTTTTAAAGTTTTTTGAGGTACAATCATCGTTTTTTTTAAAGTATCCTTATTAATAATAACTTTATATTTATTATAGGGTGTTTAATAGGGATAAATATAAAAAGATAAAGTTAGTTGAAAAGTAAGTAACTACTTTGTTGGAGGGCGAAATTCGATTAAAAATGTTTTACATTTTTAAAGGAAAGGAATAGTTTAAAAAAAATATTCAAGCATTTTTATACATGTCAAAATTAAATATGAAACCAAAAAAAATCATGGTTTTGTAATCTAGCAGTATGTAAACTTTTTTATAAATGAGAGGTTACAAGTTATATCTTGTTTGTAACTTTAAGTTGTTGGTGCTTGTTCTTCTAATTCAAAAAAATAAAATCTATATGGTTTTTGATAAATTTTGAGAGAAGTATAATTAAAAAGTTGAATTGAAAAGAAAGCAGTAATAGCTTACAAGATAATCAGGATTTTGAGTTTATAAAAAAAATGTTTGGATATTTTATGAAAATCACGGTTTTCAAATTCAAAATTGATTTTAACAAGTAACAGGGAGGTGTTTGAAAATTTTTAAAAAAATCATGATCTTAAATTTATAATTAACCAGTTATATCACATAATCTAACATCAATTATATTCAAAATTAGTCTTATTAACCGAGTCTTTTCATAATTAATTTTATTCAACTATTATCCAAATGGACCCCTTATTCATGCTTGGAGCTTTAGTTTTTGGTTTTCTACCCAATTGCCTATAGAATTGTGTTGGAATCAAATAGAGGAGTCACAGCATTATCTAACTAGAGTGAGATGCCCGCAAGTCGCAAGTGTGCAATTTAAGTCAACCACCCTTAGTAATATGGCATTCTCCTGAATCATCTCGATTTTTTTTTTTTCCTTTTATGCTTGAAACAAATATAGTCAAGCTCAAGAATGGGTATATTCCATATTGCATAAATTCCATATAACAATCTTTTTCAGGGATGGGGTATATTCAAAAGCAGATATACCTGTGAGCATTCTACTATGTACAATCTATCTGGCAACAGAAACTACAATAATTGCTAAATTACTAATCCAAGTAAAATATAGGTTAGGGAGTTTATCCCAAAATATATATATATTTATATATATAAGTTAGGGAAGTGTCCCTGCTTTGAGTCCCCAGTCTACCCATTACGAGGTCAACCAATTGAGATGCAGGAAGTCATCGTATTGTTGGAAGATCCATTCTCAACTGGTGAGTGCACTCCCCATTTGCCTTCAGATTCAAGTGGCTCAATAACTTGAACCCCACCATCGGTTAGTCCTAGGGCAAACTGGCATGGTTCTTGCGGATTCGCAGCTATCACGTAAGGGTACAGGCCAGAATTTCTGCAAAAGGAACAAGTATATTACATAAGGGAATTGTTACCGCTTACCGCTAGATATATATTGGGCAGAGGGATTACAAGTTATGCGACATACCTGACATAAGAAGAGCCAAGATAAGCATTGGGATTAATCTGGCATTGCAGCTGGAGATTTGAAGTGCTAAATATTAGTATTACTCCATCTATGAAGCTGGTATAGATTAGCTGGCAGTTGGACGAGAACGTTGCATGGGAAATTGGAGCCATGATTTCTCCAACAGTCCACTAAAACCGAAACCACGAGATAGTAATTAGTGCACGAAGGACAAGAACAAAAACAAACACCAAGTGCTTCATGCATAATACTTTCGAGGGAAGCAGGCCAATGGTTATAAGGAGCATGCTGTACATTTAGATAGTAGGTATCTTGGAACAAGGACGGATCACGGTTTCAAGTTAGCTGTGAAAAGCTAGCACAGTGAAGTCTCTGTACTGTAATGTGATCAGTGTAGGTAAAACAAGTTACCGTAACCACATTAGTTTATTACTTGAAATTTGGAAATGCATCTAAAATCTCGACGAAGTTAAATGCCACAGAACTTACTTGTTTCACACATTGAAGCTTAGATGTCTCATATATAGCTATCTGACTCTCATGTGCAACAAGGAAATGTGTCTGGTCCTGATGAAACTGAAGAAAGACGTTCGACATAGCAGGGTTTGTCCTGGGTGTCCTTCTTTCTGGAATCTGCAAGAACGCACTATTCTCCTTTTCCCAAGTATTTGAGTTCCATCTTATAATCTTGTAAGGGAGAAAAAGAAAAGGATGAAGAAAAGAAAGGTCAGTTAATGTATGAAGTTGCGCCAGACTTAGAAGAGCTGATACAACAATCTGCTGTCCTCTGTGTGTGTGTGTGTGTGTGTAACAGGCAAATAAAGAATAAGGAATTGCAGTAAAAATAGACAATCAACCTGAGAATCTTCCCCAAAAGAAATAAGTAGATTCTGAGCATGAGAGAAAGCAAGGCCAGTAACTTTTTTGGAGTGACCCTTTAACCGATGGCTTACCTGTAATGTGAAAATATGAGAATTCTGTGTATCTTGATTCACTGAGCATCAGAGACAAGCATATATGCTACATTGTACCTCATCTGAGCGAACATTATATATATGGATTGAATTGTCATCTGTACCAACAGCAATAGTGTTATTGTCCATAGGATGGAAAGCAAGAGATGTTGCTGCTGGCGGTGGGGACATGCAACTTGTCATTATCTGTAATTTATCAGAGAACACTTAATCGCTGAATGTTAATCGATTGAAAATTTAGCCCATGCATCTTTTGCATGTTCCTGTGGTGAGATAACTATACATGAGTTACGACTGATTTAAATATTTCAGTTGAAATTCTATTTCTAACTATTTCTTGGCTGTCAAGGAAACAAAGAAGCTCAAATCTGTATCTATGAAGACCATGAAATGAGGTAAATATTTCTATCAAATATATTTCTGAAAACTCGAGTTTCAACCTTGCAATACCTATAGAAAGCAAATTTTCATAAGCTAACTTTCACAGTTTAGGAGACCAACCACCGTAACCAAAAAGTTTCATGACAGCGGGATAAAATTACCTTGAATGTCAGCATATTAAACAAAGAAACCTTTCCTCCAGATGCTGACATGAGATAGGAATCATTCTTGGACAAAGCAAAGCACGGCACAGCTTCTCTGGCTATACTGTCGGTTAAGTCATTGATCATTACCATGCCTGGCGTTGGCTGAACAACCTGAGGAGCAACCTTGGTAGTTCCCTAAGCAATGAAAGAATTTTTTTTTTTCAATAACCATACATGATGCAAATTACCTAGAGAGAAACACGTGGAGAAAAAAAGTTAACCTTGCCACTTGGATTAAGATCATTGCGCGGCCACTTCCAAAATAAATGGATAGCATTTGATGCCAATGCCAAAATTCCACTTCCTGTGCTAGTGTACATCAATCTTGAGATCTGCAATTGTAAGAACGGAATTCAGTAATTATTAACTTGTGGCTGGTGTCATGCCCAGATCTTGATCATCCCGAAAAGGAAAAAAATCAATAAATATAGGAGTCGTCACCAAAATTTAAAAGGATAATTTTGGAAACCTTTTAAAAATAAAATGGTTTATAATAACCAAAATAGGATTCAGGAGTCGGTTGTGCGTGAGAAAAGTATTAGGCACCCCACGACACCCGTTCATAAGAACAGTTACCTTAAGTTGATTGCGTAAAATTAATTGACCTTTTAATAATATCTTAGTTATCATTTATTGTACATGAAAAATAAAGATAAAAAAATAAAAGAAAATAAATTATTTATTTACATGAAAGAACTTGATTTAGGATTGAAACCTAAGGCCTACGTACCCTGTGATGAGAATCAAAGTCCACGTAGTTCGAAATATTATTATTTAGGTTTTCTTTTAATTATTTATTAATTTATTTTATGAAGAGAGGGTTATTTTGTATTACATAATTATATTTATTTTTAAATAAAAAAAATTGTCATAAGGAAGTACCTTTGGATAAAAGGAAAATAACCAGTATTGAAACTTGCGGTGATTTAGTATCACTCACAGTTCGCTGGTTGACACTCTAAGTGCACACAGTGATTCAATATCACTCATGGCAAACCCTAAAAGAAATTTAAGGTAAATTTGCTATAAAATAAGTTAATTTTGAAACTTTAAACATAAAATTAGATACTTGCGATGATTTAGTGTCATTCATTGTATCTCATTTGATATTTTTAAGAATCCACGGTGATTTAGTATCACTCATGGGGTAACCTAAAATATGCTAAAATTTTATTATTTTTAATAATGCACAAGAGAGGGAAATTTAACCAATATTGAAACTTGCGATGATTTAGTATCACTTACAGTCCATTGGTTAACGCTCTAAATGCACACAGTGATTTAATATCACTCATGGCAAACTCTAAGATGAAATTCCTATTAAATAATTTAATTATAAACTTTTGGTGTAAAAATTGATATCTATGATGACTTAGTACCACTCACGATATCTTATTTCTATTTGATTCACAGTGATTTAGCATCACTCGTGGATCCTAAAAACATACCAATAAATTTTAATATTTTCTAGAATTTGACACTTGATATTCGTGGTAACTTAGCATCACTCACTTCATCAATGTATCAAATATTCAATATGATTTAGTATCACTCATGGATCCTCTTTTTACAAAAAAAAAAAGTATAAAAAAGTTATAGAAATATTTTTTCATCAAGACCACCCTTTTAAAAAAAATAATGATTTGTTAGTCTGAATAAAGAAATATCACCCACAAACTCAAAAACTCATTCGCTAAACATTATGCATGCAATTTCAATGAATAAAATAAAAATAGAAGTGTCAATTCAAAACCCAAGACTTGGTGTCATTATCTCACACACAAATTAATAGCAATGGTTATCCATTCATCGTACACCATTTGCTACAAACACAAGACACATATCAACCATATTAATAAACAAAATAGATAAAAGGATGTGGAATTTGAGGATGTAGGCAAGGCATAATCATTTTGAATTCAACAAGTTGATCACACTGAGAATTAGCATAGGAGTCATGAGGCATTTATATTGTATCAACATGAGAATTCATTGTGTCAATCACTAGCAGTAGCAACTTTGAACAGTAAACAATTATATGAAGCCTAAAACACGAACCCCATATTGCTATCACGCACGAGGACAAGAGTGGTAACGAACCAATGAGTATGTCATCCAACACACACCTAAGGTCAGAGGATCATGGAAATGATATAAAAAGCATTACCTACTTTTCAGAATTTCACTGATATGCTCGGCCTCTTCCTCCCTACCTCCCCCAAAATTTTTTTTTCTTTGCTATTCTTTTTATAGACACCAACTAGGGTTTTTCCTCTTAAAGACAAAATCAAGCATATCAAGGCAAATCCTAGTTTCACTTCTCTTCATTATTTCATATTCAAATTATCTCATTTAATTTGATAGGACCATAATTGTGGGGATTTAGAGGCCACAAAAAAGGAAAGAAACTCCTTTTAAATTATGAAGATATTATTTTATTTTAAATTTTTTATAAAATCCTATTTTTCCTTTTTATTGTATTTATTTAATTTACTCAATTCTATTGGGATTTTTATTTATTTTTAATTTACATCTGGAAGTCCGGACAAAATACGGTGTTCACAGCTGGCATGATACTATAATAAAATTTATGGAAACTATTATGCTACGGCTCGAGATAGAATGGCCTAATAATCTCTTCCACTGCCACATCTTACTGTCATGAAATTTCTTACGCAAACAAATGATGTCACAAATGGGCAGTGGCAAAGTGTAACGAAAGAGTATTTCCGCACTATGATAGCATACATGTACCTTTTCTATCCTGATGCTGGTTGCAAGTCTTAGTGACCTAAATTGGGAAGCTTCATTGATTTCAGTGAACTTCCAGGTCTTTGGTGGGACCAATGCCTTGTTCAATTTAGGTTTTACATCTTCAAAAGTTCTTGCCTCACCATTCTGTAATTAAGTATAATGAAAGTAATTTAATACATTTTTAAGCAGTATAGCTGCATGCGAGCAACTGTTAGTGCAAAGCAACTAGCAAAATAGCTAAAGTTAATCTAAATAGCATTACAAGACTAATGCAGAACATCAAAGGAACATGTGAATCTTGCACACCTTCATCTGACGCATCAAATGCTGACCATTAGCGGTTGCTAGCACCTTTATTTTGTTCTCATTAGCAGTAACAGCTAATAAGGTGCCATCCTTGTTGAATCGGATTCGAGGACTAGCCTTCAAAGTGGAGAAGATGTATAAATATCAGAATTTAGGTGGGGCAAGGGCATTCTAAGAGTTTGAACAATCCATTAATAGAACTCACTGGTAGTCCCCCTTCAGCATCAGTACTTGTCAAAAGATTGATGTTATCCATATCCCAGAATTTTATTGAATAGTCATGACCAACCGCCAAGAACTGATTCTTGGTCGTGTCAAATTGAATGATACCTAGAGAATGTTTATGAAGTCCTTGGTAAGATCTTTTGATGATGCCTTCTTTTTCATTCCACTCAACAATATGCGACTGCCCTTCTTTAGTGGTTCCACAGGAAAATAGCCTGCAAAGATAACCAATGTGACATGTTCGATAAGCAATTGAATCACGAAAGTTAACCATTTCATCGGTGTAAATAATCAAGTCAAGAATCAACCTGCTCCCATCAGCACTATAACCCATTGATGTGCAGGATTGACCAGGAGCGTCAAAGTCAACCCTTGAGTTCATCATGTCATATAACCATGCTTTAATTTTTCCGTCCACTGATGTGGAAAATAGAAACTAAGGAATAATGGGTAAATATTAATAACCAAAACCAAACCATTTGTGTAGGCAAGGGATATGAAATCATTCACACAAAGATAAACCTTACATGAATATTTTCCTTGTAATGCGGACAGACAGAATATACAGCACCATCATGGCCTTCAAAATTGCGAACTCTAACACCAGTGGTAGCATCCCAAAGCTAAATTTATACAAGCATGCAAATGAGTAATTATGCCTCTTTCACTAGCATCCTAATTAATTTTCACAACCAACCTTGATAGTTTTATCATCTCCACAAGTTAGCAAACAGAGTTTTGTTGTGGGGTTGCAAAATGCCAGATCATTAACACTTCCAGCGTGAGCTTCAATCTGAAATTATAAAATAATAGAAGATAAGTAACAATTTATTAGCAAAAACATGCACTTGTAAGGATTAAAAATACACCTCCAAATGTGGTCGTATGTCGTTAGTACCATGATAGGAGTATAACTGAATCATGTGTTTGGAATATGCAACTCCTGCCCCAAAATTTAAAAAATTATAATAATTTCTCCGAACAGAAATTCAAATGTTTCCAAGCATTTCCTTGATAAGGTAACAGGCATACCGAATAATGAACCTTTAGAGTTCCACAATATACGTCTTACAGAGATAGACGGATCTTTAACTAGTGTAGCCTGAATTTCATTGGAGCAATTTGACTATCAGAAGTTTTTATCACAAAAACATGCCTACATAATTAGAGCTGAAAGAAGCAAGAGGATCCTCACTTTTAATGTCATTGAACTTGTTCCAATATCCCATACTTGAAAATTTCTTGCAAACAACCTCTCCATCGAACGAACATCCCACAAACTTATGTCTCCCAAGATTGTTCCAACTAAAAAGTCACATTGAAAACGAACCAGATAGGCCAAAATTATCAAAATAAAAATAAAAATATGTTCATACTAATCATTCATTGTAACTAGCCAAGATTCAGGAAGAAAAATCTAATTCGAGCCAACCTAAAAGTAGCATTTGGTGGAATGGATGAAAATCCATGCTTGTGGGGTTTGACCACAGAGTCAGAGTCCTTACAACAGTCTTTGGCAAATCATGGGTTTGGAAAACTGCTGAGGTATGGCTTTGAGCATGACAGGCAGCAGAAGGAATGACCTACAGAAATTTCAGAAATATCACATAAAAATGCTTGACGACTTTATATTTAACCAAGTTCACTTCACTATGGCATTGGAATTAACTAACCTTGTCTGGAATCCCAGGCATCCTCATCCTGCACATCTCATCAGGACCCCCAAGACTCTTTGCTATTGCTCCTATATCAGGCAACGAAAAGGAATAAAATTGAAAAAGGCAACTCTTTTCACATTACATATAATATAACGAACAACACAGAGTCTTACCCGGATATGTCAGGCCACCATAATTGACGCTTCCCAGAACTACTGGACCCAGAATGTTTGAGGAATTAGGCGTCCATGTTGTGGTAGGGGTTTGAAGTGATGTTGATGGGGGATGAAACGGAAGCTTTCATGTGAAAATAAACAATAAAAGTTAATTTCTTTTTCTTTTTTTCTTCTTTTTTTTTTTTAAGAAACTTCAGTACAAGAACCATTAACCAGGTACGTAATCAATCACTCATACTAAGTCACTCACCCCAGTGGCTCCACCTATTGGATGAAAGCCCTCGAGTCTTGGATTAGAAGCTGCAAGTTGACTGCTTGTGGACCGCTGTGCTAAATCACTTGAATTTCTACAATTATGATCCACAAAGAGGGTTCCTATTTCAGGATTTTGTACAGGATTTTCGCAAAGTGAATGTTGCCAATTTAAACTGTGATGCCAAGATTAAAGCTAGTTAGTTACACATCGATATAAGGACAGCAAGCTAGGATAAAAGAGATTATAATATGTTATCTACACTTAAATGCCGTTAGATTTTCATTTTATTGAAGCATAATTCAAGAACTCCATTTAGCTTTGGGGGAAAATAAAGGGAACAAGTAAGTTTAAAATATTAAAATAAAAATTATCAGAAAATACATAATGTTTTATCGAGGGCGAGGTAAAATTTATCATTGCCGGGATTCTACCTTTGATTAATGAGACTTCTCAGTCTTGAAGTTCTTATGAGAGGGAACTCTATTTTATCACAAAGAAGAGGATTCGCGTCAATAAGCCTTTTGAGTTCCCCCATCATGATAGTTCTTGCAGTCTTTATATCTCTGTAATTAGAGAGGGAGCTATTTTCCCTGCAAAACACCCACTCACACCCACATTGCATTAAGCAACCGACAATCTGAATACACAATGTCGACAAAAACCAATGTTTCTGAAGAAAACATACCTAAAATTGTCTAAAGCTATAAGGTGGGTGATTTCCTTGAATAAGTTTTCATCAAAAGAGGAAAAGACCCTCAGATCCTTCACTAGGATATCCACAGCACTCGCACGATCAAGCCTGAAAATTTAGGGATTGAGCAGGTGAAGTTTTTTTTTTTTCAAGTAACGACCGAAAGAAAGATTTTTATTTTTGGCCAAAATATTAGGAAGGATTAAAGAAAACACATTGGGAAGCCTAGATTTTGAAACTATGAATTACTTATCCAAGGCCTCGAGGTATTTCTGCTTCCGAAGCTCAAAAAATGCCTTCATCGAAAACTTGTTGTCATCAAATTTGGTGAATCCCTGAAGATACTTTTCAGCTTCATCCAAGTTTCCATTGAGCACCTGCTCTTCGAAATACTTGAAGTTGAAGAACAATGCCGATTCTTGTTCCAAGCTTTTTACAAAAATGGCCAAATGTTAGTTCGGACAAGTATCTCCGAAACAATTCGATTGAAGAGTAAATAGAAGGGAAGAGAGATTGATTCACCCAAAAAAAAAGGGGGGAGAGAGATCGCAAAGTACATACGTGTGAAGGGTATCTTTGAATTTTTCCTCGTCAAGGAACTGCAGGATCAAGAAGATAAGGTCCTTGCCTAGCGAAGTCGCCATTAACTTTCCCCTTGTTATATCTGCAGCCTGCAAATCAAATACTATCAGTGAGATTGTTAAGTGCGCAAACCCAGAAAGGTTCTCTGTTCAAAAGATATTATGTTCATCCCAATAATGGCCCCAGAAAGAAAAGAAATATTCATCCTATTCTGGTTGAACATTTATGACGAACATTAAATTATCTGGTTTTAACAAGCCAGGCACCGCATTCCACAGCTCTCGAATCCTGACTAACTGTCAGAACAGTCAGAAACACAGAGCCGCTTAGAAACAGACAGAGTCACAGAACCCGAACACTCAAATAATTAAATAATGAAATACCGTGAATCAATTGAGACAGAAAAGTAATTTATCCGGGAAAAAAGAAAATTCAAAATTATTGCATAAATGAGGTAAGATAATTTACCTGAGAATTTATACTGCTCGTTCATGAAAAAGAGTAAACGAATGAAATTAGGGTTTTAATAAACACAAAAATAGTAAAGTTAACTTAAAGTTTGAATCTGCGAAAAGCCGAACCAGGACCAGAAATACAGAAGAAAAAGAACATGGCGGAATAGAACAAAAGCAACCCGATTGAAAAAAGACGCAAGTCCGGACTTGCCTGAAAAACAGGGAGGCAATAAACCCCGGGGTGGGGGGGGGGGACTGCAGAGCTAGACCTGAACACTCAAAAACAAGTATATTTTCTTCTCTTTCTCTGACTTTATAGCAGCATATTGGAGCTCGCTCTCCCAGAAGCACTGTCGAGGTACCAAGGCAGAAATATATAGGCGCGCAGGCGGCACCAACGACGAGGATAACCCAAGTGACTTATCAAAAAAGCGGAATAGTTGAATATAATAAGTACCCGTACTTATGAGATAAGTCGTAATGCAGTGGGGCCCCACATAGGAAAAGTATACTCCGACAGGTGTCTCAACTTTGGAAAAGATGACAGTGATGGTTGAACTTTGTTCCCCCACTCGATCCCAAAGGGAGTGGGCAAGACGCTCTGGGTTCCTAAGTGGGTGAATGCAACAGTCTGTTATACTCTTTCATCTTAAATTATAAAATATTTTTAACTAAAATTTTATATATTAATAAATTTTATTAAATACACTTAATAAATTTATTTTTTTAAATTAATTATAAAGAGAGAAAGAATAATATTAAAATTAATACATTTAATAAAATCTTAATTTATCTAAAATATTTTATATTTTAAAATAAAAATTTTTTTAAAAGTATTCTATAATTTAGGATGAAGAGAGTATTTTTTGTCTCCTTGTGAGGGCTATCTACCCACAACTTAGGTTTAATTGATGGGTGTGAAAGCTTTATGATTTGGATGCGGACATCAAAAAATTGTCTTTGTATTTTAAATTTTTATAAGCGAAATTATATGTGAGTCTAAAATTAGATGAATTGTTTTGTAGCCAGTAGATAATGGTAATGACGAAAATATGATTTATATATATATATTGGTTTGTTATAATTATATTTCATTTGTTGCTATTTAGAAGAGAAATTATAAAATTTGATAAATATTTAATACTTTTTCTCAATATGTCTGTATTTAATGTATGAAATGACTTGCTATAAATGTTGTCTGTTCTTTTAAAAAATATTGTGATCATTAAATAGGGAAGAGCTAAAAAATTAAGAGATGAATTGATATAATTGTTACGTGAGAATTAGAAAATTTTATCATACGAGCGGAAACCTAGGGAGTGTATGAAAAATATTTCTTCAGCTTATAATTGTAGAGAATTCATTCAAATTTTGCCGCTTGAACGTGGGGCCCATTGAAATGTTGTCACGAGAAACCTGTGGAGTGTAACCCATCATAGGAAAAAGGAAATATCAAACAGGAGCGCCTAACATCGAAAGCAATAAAAGAGAAGAATCCAAGACAATCATATATTTCTTCACTAATAAGCGATAGCGGAACAAAGCATACTATGAGAAAATTGTCGTAAAATAAATATACTTTTCATTATCTTTAAAAAATTGGAACAGACTTGTCATCACTCTGGCAGTTGGGAATATGACAATTAAAGACCTCATTAAACCATTAATTACAATTAACAATCTTGAATTATTAAAATTTCAATAATAAATATTGTTTTCATTTATAATTAAAAATATATAAGTTTAAAATTAAGAAAAACACTACTAAAATTACTAGTATGACTTTAGACTATTATTAATCTCAGTTGAAAAAATCATAATCCACGTTTGAAAATGAGATTGACAATAATCTTAACTCATAATAGTAATTTTAATAGTTCCAACCCGTAACACTTGAAATCTTGATTTTTTAATTGAGACTAATGATAATCTTGACCTATGATAGTAATTTTAAAAGTGTTTTTCTTCATTTTACAAGTGGCTTACATATATATTGACAACATAAAAATTTATAAATTATTAGTTTCGCATTCAAAAGTGATTTTGATAAATTTTTAAATGACTATATACATTTACAAGTATCTTTTAAAAGTTTTACAAGTAAATTTTAGCTTCATATTGGGAAATGACACATTTTTAGGTGTGGTTCTTGGTTTTCCCAGCTCAAAATAACAATAGTCTCAACTCGTTATAGTAATTTTAGTAGTGTCTTTTTCTTATTTTTAAACTCATGTTTTTAATTTCAAACAAGGACCGTGGTCCATTATTGGAATTTACTTCAACAATTCAAGATCCTTTATTGTAATTAATGGCCTTATAGAATCTTTAAGGATAAATTCACCCACTAGCCAAAAAAGTTTTGTGCCTAAGACATATAAACTAAATTTCATATTAATATATAAAGAGTTTATAATTGATATACAATAATTTATTATTAAAAATTTAAAATTTATAAAAGGTTTATTATTAACAGATATAATAAATAAGTTATAATGCAAAATATAATAAATATTAAACTATTTATTTGATTTAGTTATATAATGTGAGCAATATCTATAAAAACCCCAATCCTTTATCATTTTCCCTTGGTAGTTTTCAATTTAGTATAACTTTTTATAAAAACAAAGTAGGTGATGGACCATATATTTTACTGGAACAATAAACAGGAGATGCGAGAGATGATGTGAGCTGTAAGGATGAGCATTCTCACATCTTCCCTTCCCATCTCATCCTCCTCCTCTTCATTTTTTAACCGTGAAAATTAACATTTTGGATGGTTTGAATTGAATTGTATCTTCTATAAAATATATCTTTTTATTTGGTTTTATTGCAGTTTTAAACTACTGAAATTAAATTTTGGTAACTTAAGTTTGATTATTTATCTTTTCTCATAATTTAACATTTAAATAATGATTTTATAAAAAATTAAATTCAAATCGTTCAGATCTTCATCTAATAATTATAAAAGGAAAGGAATGAAAGAATATAGGAAGAAAAGAGAAGAGAATCTACTCTGAAGTTGTGAGTAGGGACTGAGGTGGGGGTGGGTCTAAGAAAAACGTTACCGAGTGAGAATTGAGAAATGTGCGCGCGCGAGGACCGAGGAGGGGGTGGGGTGGGGAGTGTGAGGAGAGAGGAAGGTCAAAGAACAGAAGTGAAACTGAAAACATAAAAGGTGGGTCCCATACACATGACGCACCACACGGTGCTTACGCTTCTCGCAGCAATGGCTTCCTGGACGATGGGCCCACAGAATCCCGCAACTCCCCTGCCCAGGCTTCCCCCAACCCATTCCCCTCTCTCTCTCTCGTATTTTTTATTTCAAATCACTATATTACCTTAATATTAAATTATAAAATATTTTTTTAAAAAATACTCCTTTCATTTATTTATATTTTTAATTAAATTTTATCTCTTAATAAAATAATTATCTATTTATTAATTAATTATATATTTTTATATTCACTCCTATTAAATACCCTATAATAAATATAAAATTATTATCAATAACAATACTTAAAAAAATGACTATACCTTAAAAGATTAAAAATGTCTTGCAATTTTTTAATAATTAATTATTTAAAAAATATTTTATATTTTTTAATAGAGAGAGTAATATTTTAAAATATAAAATATTTTGATAAAAATAAAATTTTATTGATGTTATTTTTTTAATGTTATCCATTCTATTATATTATTTTTTTAATATTGTTTATACATTAGGTATTAAATGAAAAATATTTTAAAAATTTATATTTTATTTTAAAAATATAAAATTATAAAATATATTTAATAAAATTTATTAATTTATGAAATTTTATTTAAAAGTATTTTATAATTTTAAACTAAGGGAGTAAATATTGTCTTGTGATATAATTTAATAAATATTTATTTGTCATTTGACTCGCTTTGTCAATTTATAAGATATTTTTTAATAAAATTATGTATATAAAATTTATTAGATATAAACTATTTATATTTTCATTTTTTATAAACTTTTATTAACGAACAATTTATAAATATTTCATTAAACACTCTTTAAACTTAAATGTATGATCTTTCTTTTATAATGAATTTAGGGATGTGTATGTGGGGAGCGAAATTTAAAAATAACTTAAAATATGAGAGGATTAAAGCTGATTTTTCATTTTTTACAAACATGTTTTTAAAAAAAATTAAGGAGCAATGAAATTGTGAGGGGGCAAGCACCCCTTTCTCTCCTTACATTCTTCATTACTTTCTCTTTAATATTATAAAGTATTTTTAATCAAATTATTTATTTAATAAATTATTTAATTGCTTTTAAAATCATATATATTTTTATATTTATCTTTATTTGACAGGATATTTTAATTAAAAAAATGTATTAATACATTCCTGGCCAAGAGTATTTCTGGATCTCGTAAGAGACCGAGATTACCTGATTCATGCACCTTGACACAAACTGAAACATAGTATAATGTCGCGAGGTGCATTTAACAAGTTGTGGGATTAATTAATACATACATTGAACAATCGGAACTGAACCCCCAACCCTTCCTTGTTGCTGGTTTGACCACTCAAATATTTAATGCTTCTATTTATCACTAATTTAAGAAATTTGCTAGCAAAAAAAAAAAACCAGAAACTCTCCCTTCAACACCAAAAACAGTATTATCTGCTTGCCCACTCACTTTGTTCAAGATAATGAAATATTCTAAATATACTTAATATTTTATTTTTTTAAAATAAAGATGCAAACTTTCAAAAATACCCTTTATTTGATAACTTTAAATTCATACCTAATTAATATTAAATAGACAGAGAGATAGAGTAATATTGAAATAAAGCTATTTAATAAAACTTTAATCTTTTAAAATATCTTATATTTTAAAATGTCAAATTTTTCTTAAAAGTATCCTATAATTTGGGATGAAGATAATATATTTTTAACTAACTTTTTACATTTAATGACAATATTTAATATCATTAAGAATCACCCACCGTTATTTATTTGAAACCCTTGTTTAATGGGTAACTTGATCTCAAGTGAATATAAAAGCATCATTAATCTCAAACATTCATTAATCGCATTTTAAAAAAATCATTAATTATTTTTAGAAAATACCAAAAGACTTTGTATTTTTTAAATCCAGTAGTGTCTCTGAAAAAAACGCCCTCTAGTTTTGAGGAGAGGAAATATTGGCCTAAAATATAAAGAACTTAGCATTTGTAAAAACAAGAAAAAAAGAAAATTCTCATTTTATCCCTTATACTTTCTCTAATCTTGATTATAAGTCATTTTCAACATGTTTTACTAGACCAAAAAAAAACTTCAAACCACATTAAATTT